TCTTCTTTTGGGGGCCCCACTCAGTCAAGGGCCCTTAGAATCATCCTAAATTTTCCCCCAATATGGCGCCAACTGTGGAAATGCATCGCTATCTCTGGGCAAACTTAGCTTCTTCAGCTGCCACAGAAACTACATCGCCTGCTGATCTTTCTTGGTAGAGGGAGGTGATGTTCAGCTTCCATTTAAGGTCCTTAGCAATTATGGTATCAAGAAAGCTGAAAGAGTCCATGGTGGTTACTTAGGGCTCATAAAAGAGTAAATGGGGAGGATGTGACTTTGCTTTTTCTAAAATCTTGAACCATTTTTCATAATCAAAAAGTAAACAAGTCATTGATCTTATTCCTCGTATACTTTACAATCATGTAGTTCTGTATGGTGAGCCATCACATGACATCACCATGTAATATATCCAAGTTATGAGTTCTAACCTTTAAAAATGGAGAAAAAGGAAAGCAGTGATGAGTGAATTTTCAAAGCATTGTAGATTATAAACTTTTTTTTTTTTGTTAATTCCAAAAAAAGGGTGCTAAATTGCATGTGCAATCATTTGTTTGCATGCTCAATAAGTAGCCATGTTGTAGGTGATCTACAAAGATTGCAGCACAAATCTTAAGATAAGCATATCGGTTTGGTTTTGGCCATTAAAATGATCAGATTTAATCTTCTACAGGCACTTCAAGAGTGGCTGTGAAGGAAAGATAAAATTCAAAGCCGTGGAGATTGAGGAAATAATTATATTTATTTAAAAGATAGTATTGATAATACTAGATAATATTTATAGTTCAAGTCACAGATTAGCATTATCTAAGTGCTAAAAACAAAAGTAAAGAAAAATAAAACAATGAAAATACCTAAATTAAAAGCTAAATATAAAAAAAAAATGTATATACGAGAAAGTTGTCTTCCGACTGAGACCCCACCAATCCCTCCCAGACAGATCAGTCACACTTAGATACATTTAGAGCAGATTAGGCTTTAAACAGCTGGATCTAGCTCCTCGACTTCTGTCAACTGTAGTTTGAAACGATATGGTGCAAAACACAGTCTTCCATAATAGTTTAATAAATCACAACCATGCTTCATGCAAACTTTTGTTTTAAGGTCCAAATATGTTTACATGTGCACAGAATATCTCTCCATCCCCTGGTATTGTACAAGTGACTCCTTTAGTGCAACAATAGTTTTGCATGTGAGTTTGCACTTGACATTCGGATGTACTAAAAAAGATGCAAAAACTGCTGCAGTTGACTTTCAGACTTGGAAAAAGATAAATGTTTACATTTGCATAACCACCAATGAATTTGCACTGTTTGGTCATTAGAATATGATCTGCATATTGATGAAGCAATACATGCAATAAAGGGTCTGTCTGCTGAATTGCAAATTGGTATAACTTTGCACCTTATTTGCACCTGTTTTAAGTCATGCAATTCTTCTGAAGATCAGGTCGAATGTACTTTCTTTACCACGTTGACCAACAGAGATTGTTGCTTAATTCTGTTTTAAAACATCAGTTTTGGTCTGACTTCATAGATTTTTTTAGGTTGCAATATCAAAACATTTCATATTCGCTAACTGTGGTTTGACTACTGACGAATTATCATGATCACCACTGTCTGAAATCAGACATTAACAAGATCTCTGGTTGCAAAATAAGCTATAAAAATTTTAGCCTAGGGATATACAGTATCACTAAGGGGCGGGGTTTCTTCATCACTTCCATTTCCTCTTGAGCTGAATTCACACAGCATCAAGAAGGACTTCACTTTTGTGCAGTAATTCCTTTACTCTGAAGAGGAGAAATGATTAACATCTTTGTTTTCTTATGTCTGGCAGGTAATTTCTTTCTTCTGAATCAGATTCTATTAACCACTTGTTTTCTTTCGCTCCTGACATATAATCTGTCCATCTCATGATCAGGTCTCAGTCTAGGTCTAGAGGTCCATCAGTCCAACTCTGATCTCATCAAAGAAGCTGGTGACAAAGTTCTGATTTTCTGCACCCATGAAAAAACTGACTACAGAGTGATGCTCTGGTACCAAAAGTCACCTGGAGAGACAGCCATGAAGCTCATCGGATATTTGAATTATGGTACACCATCCATAGAAGAGTCATACCAAAAGGACTTTAATATTTCTGGAGATCTGAGTGGGAGTACAGCAAAAAACGGCTCTTTGATAATCCAAAAAGTGGATCAAAGTCACACTGCTGTTTATTATTGTGCTGCTAGTTATGCACAATGAGAGAAAAACTCTGTGTACTTCAACAAAAACTTCACAGTTGTATCATCAGTGGTTTTCGGTAGAAAAAGGACACCTGTTGTTATGGTTGAGAAGATTATAACTTACAGCACTGTGGGAAAGTAGAAGTTCTGGTTTTCCTGTTTAAATGAAAGGAGGAAAATAAAAATAACAAGAATTCCTGTCATGGTAAAAAAAAACTGGTTGAGGCCATGAAATCAATTATTGGGACAGCTTAACTGTCTCTTTCAAATATAAGCATCCCTAAGGTGTAGAGGTGTCTAACGCATTAATATTTATTTCTCATGTAGAAGTATAAATCCTACCTTTTAAAAACACTTTTGTACAAGTTAGAGTATCAACTTAAAAGTACAATTTTTAAAACAAGTATAAAAGTAAAAGTAATCCAGGAAATAATGTTAAGGGCAGATGCTTTTTACTGCATTAGGCTATTAAAGGAAAAATGTTCTACAATTCTGGATGACAATTTCCTCAGAATTAATTATCTTAGTTTTATAATTAGGGTAGGATTGTGAAATTAAACTTTGCATCATTTTGAAAAACAATTTATTTTGGATTTTTTTTTTAAAGACACCACTGTACTTGTTTTCCCAAGTTTGAAGACGTTTTGCTTCCCATCCAGGAAGCTTTCTCAATTCAAAATGTCTGGAGTAGCATTGAGTTCCAGGCTTAAAGAGTAGCCAAACAAAAGCCTTGTTGTGGCGTAGAAAACGTGCAAATTGACCTGAAATTTATTAATTGTTGATCGGCCTCTTTTGGGGGATTTGAGTTGGTAGGAGTGAATTGCCAGGAACTCCTAAGAGGTTAACAGGTGTAATTATTAAAAAAAAAAAAAAAAAAAAAAAGCTCATAATCTGTATTAGCAGCACTCTGTAGCAGAGCCCTGCGCCGTCTGTATCTGTCTGAATTTAGATTTTAAGGAAAGTGTTTGTAAACCGAGCTTTGAATCCTTTGACTTAGTGAGGTTGCTCTAAGGGGCGGTGTTTCTTCATCACCTACATTTCCTCTTGATGCATGAGTAGAATCGACTCATCAACCACTAGGACTTCATCTCTGCAGATCAGCAAGAGGATTTTCGGCTGTAGACCTAAAATCGTCCAGGATGTTGTAGGAAATTTGAATGTAGGAAAAATGAACTACATCCTTGTCTTCTCATGTCTTGCAGGTATTTTTCTTCTAAATACAAAAATCTTATTTTTTCTTTTTACTTGGACATAAGTTCTATCTTTATGAGCATTCTCATTACCAGGTCTCAGCTTTGGTCTTGAGGTCCACCAGTCCCACTCGAATCTCATCAAAAAAACTGATGACAAAGTAGAGATTTTCTGCACCCATGAAAGAACCAACTACAGAGTGATGCTCTGGTACCAACAGCCTCCTGGAGACACAGCCATGAAGCTCATCGGACATGTGTACTTCAAAGATCCATCTATAGAAGATTAATATAAATATGATTTTGGCTTATCTGGAGATATGTCAGGGAATACAGCAAAGAATGGCTCTCTGATAATTAAAACCGTGAAACAAAATCACACTGCTGTTTACTATTGTGCAGCAAGAGAAGCACAATGGCACAAATCCTCCCTGAGCCTCAACAATAACTGCACAGCGCTTCATCATTAGTGGTTTTAGCTAAACAAAAAAAAAAACAGTGAACATCTCTCCAGCACCTGCTTTTGTGGCTGTGAAGATGGCAAAAAGGTTATTTGAAGAGCCAGTTAAATGAACTAAATAGGCTCAACAGTTGAGTTGTATAATGCATTTGTACAATAAATAAACCAAACTTGTTGTTTGTGGGGCCAGATGATGCAGGTCCACAAACTATGAGAGAATTTTAAAATTAATTTGCAGCTCGTGTGTCTGAATTTTAAATCAAATATATTCAAGTGCATGTTTGGCTCACGGGAGATGAGATATATATATATATATATATATATATATATATATATATATATATATATATATATATATATATATATATATATATATATATATATATATATATATCTCATTTAAATTTAGAAACAACTTATGAAAAATAAAACAAAATCTAAAACACAAACTGGCATATGTCAGGGCATAAATGTGTCCTTGAATGGTTCAAAGACTTTATAGTGAAGTGCTTTTGGGTCCTAGGACTTGATAAACCACCATAAGTACAGGCCAGTCACCATTATATATAATGGTTCTATAGAGTTTTATTTGCAATTCTATGTATTATGGTTTTGTATTTGAATCACAAACCATTTAAGTGAATCATTTAAAGCGTAATCACCAGGACTTTTTGCAGTAAATTTGTGTGGGGATCAGTTAAAACCTGAATGTGAAACAGGATTTTTTTTTTATGGTGTAGGCTCTTTGTTAAAACAAAAATGTCCACTTACTGTAGAGTGAACCTCTCCAAAACATAAGGTTTTGCTAATCTATTGACGTCAATGTTGTTAGGGCGGCAACATAAGCCACGTTCATCTCCCTTCAACTACCTGAAGTTCTGATATTTAGTCACCACCATTATTGACAAGTGGCATCAAAAGTAAAGATATCAGAAAATTTGCACTAACATCAAATGCTCTGTTGATGGTTGCCAATGCAAACAAGAAAATATTTCCATTTTGCCTGCTGAACAAACTACCAGGGAGGAATGGATAAAGTCCATCTTTGGAATCTAAAAGCTTCAGTCCGGTTGAGCTCGTCTCTAAATGTGTGCACAATTGCTGAGATTTTGTTACTCTTTTAAAGCTTATCAAGGCGTGTAAAACCGGGCTAGCCCCCATACCGACTGTTCTTCCTGCGACCAATCAACGCATCCCTTATTAACATAAATGCAGATTAATTGTGCATGTGAAGGCACAGACACTAGTCAAACTCTCAAGTGTACTCTTTCACGAAAAAAAAGGATCCAAAAGGGGGTTCAAATGAGCTTTGTTGAAAAATATTTTCCTAATAATGATAAAACATGCATTTGAAGATAATTTCAGGTTGGGATAGTTCCTTGTGGAAGAAACTAAGTTATCTTATGACATTTTCCTAACTTTGTACATATCAACACTTCAGGTACGGTTATTGTTCCAACAGGACTGCTCTCCATTCTACAAGATAAGGTCGATAAAGACATGGATGAGCAAGTCTGGTGTGGAAGACCTTCACTGGTCTGAAACTGTGACCTAAAACTATGCAGTGTCCAACATTATCGTCTGAGTACACAAATGCATTTGTTGGGGAATATTTAAGAAATCCAGTGATAATCCAGAGGACCTTTATTTAAAATACATTTAAAACATCTAACCTATAGATTTAATCTATAGATTAAAAACATGATGTTACTTAGTTTAATGGTGTCTACCACCTGTGTTTTTTTTAAACTAAAACTTTTAAGCTAAAACCAGATTCTTATTTTCACATACAGTTTTAGCATCACTAATTTAAAACATCTATACTGGTTTGTCAAGTTTTTTTTACAGCACACGGGGGCAGCAAATCCCAATTAACTGGAAAGAGAAAAACAGCAATAAAATATGTGTGCCAGGCCTACCTTTAATAAAGAATTCACTTTGCCCTTATCAAAGCTCCCACTGAGAGAGCAAATAAGAACAGCATAGGCTCAATCTTTATTAGTTTTCTTTCTTCTTGAGTACATTTACTATAAAGAGCGTTATCTGCTAATTCTACCAAACCTCTCTCCTTTTTCCCCCTTTTTTGTATTCTACCATTTCACCTTCATCCTTTTTTCAAATTAATCTGTATAGGACAAAAAGATCAAGAATTTATTACATTCCCTGTTCCTTTATAGTTAATCGAAAACTATAAAATTTTTTCAACATGATTATACTCAGCTTCTGCGTTGAACCAATCTGGGCTTTCTGTTTCGCTTTTTATCAGGAGATTCACATCCATCAGTTTCCCACCAATGTCATAACACAGGGAATTATGTTCAACTTTTTCGCTCAAACAGATTAGTACAGATTTGTGCTGATAAACCCTAAATACGGCAGTATCAGCAGACTCCCCAAGTCAAGGTTCTAAAGTCGAACGTAAAACAACTTACTTCCGTGCCGCAATGGAAACTCTTTGTGTCACACGTGCAACAGCCCTGACCTAAACCTCAACCTATGGCTTGATAATATCTCCCACTGAGTCTAGGTTAAAGAAACTCATCACCCACCACCACACCACAGATACTTGGATGTCACACTTTAGCAGAGATGGCAAAAGTACTCACTTTCCGTACTTGAGTAAAAGTACAGATACTTGTGTTAAAAAATACTCTAGTAAAAGTGGAAGTACTGATTAAACTTCTTTACTCAAGTAAAAGTAACAAAGTACAGGCTTGTAAATTTACTTAAAGTATAAAAGTAAAAGTAGAAACCACTTTTTTCATGCCGTTGCCTACATTTTAAATGGATGTCTGCCATTAGGACTAGATCTCCGTTGTGTTCATTTTCAATCATCTCATCGTCCATCCTACTATGCTAACGCCACCGCCACCAAGCTGTAATGATTTGCCGCCAATGAATACCGCCGAATCTGTCGATTCATCTTGTAGTGGTGCGTCAAATGCAACGTAGATTTCCATCCAATTAGATTGAATTTGGTATTGATGATGTGAAAAATAATAACGGTAACTCCATTGAAATGATTCAAAACTAAAGTAACGAGCCAATTTTTTTTAAAATGTAAGGAGTAGAAAGTACAGATATTTGTGTAAAAATGTAAGGAGTAGAAGTAAAAAGTCTGCATAAAAATAAGTAGTAAAGTAAAGTAAAAATATCAGAAAAATCTACTTGAGTACAGTAACAAAGTATTTGTACTTTGTTACTTCCCATCTCTGCACTTTAGCTAACCTTATAGGTACAAATTAATTTTCCTGCCTTTTAGCATTCAACAGCAGTCAAGATCAAAGTTTCCCAAAACTTTCAGCTTCTGAACCACAAAATGATACCAGAGTCACCTCATGAACCAAACTGTTGAGTTACTACACTAACATTTCTATAGAATGTAAAAATTAGTCATTGGTTTGATAATATTTTAAGCATCAATAACCCAAAGTATTTGGTTTGATCTATTTTTAAGTGATGCATTTATATATTTTTAGAACTGTTAGTATGCTAGTTTATCCCAGAACCCAAGTGGGGTCACGACCCCAACTTTGGAGACCAATGGTCACGAGTTGTTCAGTAGACTCAGCAAAATGTTATACCCTCCTGGCCTGTTTGCCCTCTGGACGTTATACAATTGTAGCTGACAAGGTTTTACATATACTAATTCAACTAAGTTATTTTACAGTTAATTTAATTAATTACTCATAAATAAAATCTAACTGCAAATGGCAGTGAATTAATCTGCATGTAAATGCCTTTTGCTCATGGTCACTTACTACATTAAACTGTGGTCCTCCCACTCCTGGATACTAACTGTTTGTTAAATGTTCAGGGGGGGGGGGGAGTAAGTCTAAACAAGGTAGTAAGGGAGTTGTCCTGGATGTTTGTGAAAATTCATGTAATCTGTTTGGACATAACTTTACACTTTATAGCAAAAAATTACCAAATTCTGTTCCATTACTTGGAACACAAATGAATCCCTCATGTTACAGTAAATACAGTTTACTGTAAATGAAAGTAATTTGCACTGCTTTGGTGGCTGGATAATAAAAAAATAAATAAATTCTTGGAACAGTTCTGTTGTTTGGTGGTATTGTATCTATGAAGAGCTGTTACAAGGACTAGGGCAAAAAAAGGGCTCCTCCTTCATAATAGAGACACAGTTGCTTCCCGACATTCAACATGAATCCTTCTCTTCTCTTCATCACTATCAACTTCTTGATTGAAGGTATTTTATTTTTTTTATCAAATCAGTATTTATTGCCGTTTAAATTTTAACATATTCATCTATGTTTCTTTGACATATATGTTCCTTTGACATCCATTATGGTGATTTGATTAGAGATCTAAAGCTTGTTTTTTTTCACAGGAGTCTACCTCAGTAAAGAAAACCAAGTCAATCAGTCTCCAGCTGAAGTTCTGGGTCAACCAAACAGTACAGTCAACCTGACATTTACCCATACAATTCCGAACTATGACACAATCCTCTGGTATCAGCGCTCACCAGGAGAAACTTCCCTGAAGCTGATTGGCTATGTGTATTATACATCTGTCAATATGGAGTCAGAATTTAAAGATAATTTTCAAATAAATGGAGATGGAACTAAAGAAGCTCATCTTTACACCCAAAATCTGAGACACCCTGAAGACAGCGGAGAATATTTTGGAGCTGCAAGTATGCACAGCAATGAAGAGAGTCGGTCTCCCATACAAAAACCCTCAGAATAATTCAGCTGATAACAACACCCCAACAGGAAACCAGAGATATGAGACACAATATGAAAGCTGGCAGAAGAAAAAAATTTGCAGATTTTAAATTCTAATTTAAAATCAATTAAGACTATGTAATGATTTTAATGAACTTTCTGTATCTTTAAGGGCCCCGTGCGATGCTTTCTTTTTTACGCAGATGACAATGTGTCTTTTTCCTGTGTTCCTCATGAGCCTGTAATGTTGTCAATTAGCTTTAAACAAGTTCTAAGTACTAAAAAAACGTTCTTTTTTTAAAACGACTAAGTCATTCAATCTTCCTCTAATCACGAGTTTCATTAATCACATATTTCCACGTGGTCAGGTGGTCAAAATCCTATTACGGTCCATCTATACTGATCAAATAAACCAGCACGGAAAACACACAACTTCTAGGTTTTCCAAAGAGTCACTTAAGAAAGACCTGATTGTCATTAAGGTCCCTGGTAATAAAGTTATGCGCATATTTATACATTAGTACTGTTTAAATGATTTTAAGGTTCTATATAATATATACATTATATGAGTTGAGCGGAGTGGAGATGGAGGACGTGGGATTAGACATTGTCGTCCGACAACATGCAGTAATTTATAAATGTTTTAAATCAAGTTGGGTCCTGATTAGCCAGCAGCTGGGTCCGGATCCAGACCGCGGTCCACTAATCCGTGACCTCTGGGCAAGGGGATGCAATGGCCAGAGCCCCCCTGGCCACCCCTTTATATCTGCCCCTGTCTAAATATCTAAAAAAAAAAAAAGAAGAGAAGGGGTATGTTTGTGAGAATTGTGTCATAAATTAAATAAAAATTATTAAGAGTTCATTTTTTCTTATTGTGTATTTTATAAAAATAAAATGGTTGTTTATTGCTTTACTACATAATAGAATAGAATAGAAAAGAATAGAATATCGTTTATCGTTCCACAATGGGGAAATTCTGGTGTTACAGCAGCAAAAAGAGTATAGAAAAAATTATAACACAAATATAGACCTTAGAAAAAATGTATAAGAATAACATAATAAAGAACGTTAGGATAAAAATAATACTGTGCTGTAAAGTGTTTAAACAATATAAAACTGTGCACCTTGAAAATAAATAACCAATATACAGCTATTGACAAAAAAATAGCAGCAACATCAGAGATGTGCAAACATGACATCAGCATGTTATTTAACTGACTAAGGTAGAAACTGTGCAAACTATGTACTATATTTTAAACAGTTTCAAAACAGAATAAGCCAAGCTGCCATGCATTATGTGTAAATCCATTACTAATGGACCAAGAATTATGTTAATTCGCTACCATTTAAGAATCAACACACGGGTGACTTAAGACTTACAGTAGGGCCGGATTTATCAAGATCCAATTTTGAGTGCAGTAATTTGCGCTCGCAAACTGGAATTTTGC